ATATTATGATACAATTTAGAGGCACGCCTTAGTTGGATTGTTTAAGGTTGCAGACTTATAGAAACCACACGCCATTGATAATTGGGAAAATTTATATGGAGCCGAGGCTCTAAACAATCAAATTTGAGCCTACCTCTAGATGAGGTTGTTTTGATGCTCAAATATACTCAAATTGATCATCTCAACATCAAGATGAATGGACATGAGAAAAAAAATGGATTTCAAGTTTGGGAAATAGTGTATTTCATGCATTTTTGAAACTACATTTCTTAATACTGTTTTAAGGTAGGCTGTAATTTGATTGTTTAGAACCTAGGTCTATACAAACGGCACCCTTTATAATTTCTTAGTTTTAAGGATGGGGTTTCTATGAGTCAGCCAATTCATATTGTGCATATGTGGGCCCCCACGTAAACCTATTTCAAAAATGAATTTTTAATTTAAAATAGGTTAAGATGATCATGTATACGACAAAACAATAAAATTTTCAATATTTAAAATGTGAGTTTTTTACATAAAATTTCTACACCATCTAAATTCATTTTTCATTTTGGATGTTAGTTAGTCAGCGGGCTCTTGCCCCTGCTGACTCATGAATGACTTTTCCTAGTTTTAATTGGTTAGTTGATCTAAGAAAGACTTTGTATTTAGATTTGTTCCTTCAGTCTAGATTCCAACATGTATGTACATTGTGTCCCTTTAAGAATATTCATTTTACTTTCTTTCATTCCCACACAGGCTAGGAGCGGATTTGGAGCATAATATAATTTATTTTGTGGATAGATGCTTTTATTTGAGCTACTCTCACTAATCTTGCTTTTGTGCATTAATTTGTTTGCGTCTTTCCTTGCTCAGTGGTAGTTGTGCATCTCTTGTTATGCATCTTTTTGCTTTCTTGTGTGCCTCTTATCCTTGTGTATTATCCTGATTGATTATTGAATACTTTTTGCACATTTTTATTGTCCCCTGGTTAACTAACCCCTTCCAACAAAACACAAACAACATTTAAAATGTATTACCTTACTTTTTTTTAGGATGAAGTTTTTATAAGGCCTAGGATTTATGACAACAAAATAAAGCCCCACACCAAATCCTCATCTGGAAAGCACTTTCGATAATGGGAATCTTCATGATGGCTCTAAAATCAATTTTCAACACTAATTGTAATATTTGAAACTAAAAAAATAGTACATATTTGGTGGATTTGTGAACACTTATTTTTAGGGCAAAATGGATATCCTAAATAATTTGTTACAATTTACACTACTTTTAGAGCTTGAAATCCTAATTTTTTATCCCAACTATAATGTTCAAGTTGAGATGATTAACGTAAATGTTTTCCAATGCCTGAATTGTAATTTTTAATGAGGTATTATTTATTATGATATGATTGCAGCCCTATCAAACCATTTTCCTTTTTTTAAATCTTTTTCTAAACAAAAGAATATTGTTTTTCATTCTTTGCATGATAACGGTCGTCCCTTCCAATATTTTGAAAGTGAAAGGTCAATATCTCCATTTTTTTGTTTCTCTTTCGAGGTTGGGGCATCGATGGTTAGGGGCGAACGCTTCTGCATAACGTCCCACCCTCCAATCCGAACTTTGACATATCAAAAGATTAAAAAACAGAATATTTGACCTTTTTGAAAACTGAAACACAACCTAACAGGAAAATAGCTCGGGCTTAATTGGCTAACGCTTGACGATTTACAACGCTATGGCCTAGGCTTAATTCCACAACTTAATTGGCTAGCGCTTGACGATTACAACGCTATGTCCTAGGCTTAATTCCACAACTTAATTGGCTAGCGCTTGACGATTACAACGCTATGTCCTAGGCTTAATTCCACAACTTAATTGGCTAGTGCTTGACGATTTACAACGCTATGTCCTATGCTTAATTCCACAACCTAACAAGAAAATAGCGTTCGGAAAATAGCTCGGGCTTAATTGGGTAACGCTTGACGATTTACAATACCATATCTTAGGCTTAATTCTTCAAACAACGCTATGTCCTAGGCTTAATTTCTATGAGTGTAGGGCCCACAGACTCACCCCAAAAAAAGCACAGCATAGCAGCCATCATATTTATATTGTGCTGATATTAAATGAATAAAAAATGACAGAAATCTTAGCCAACCATTGGCATTAAATATGTTAACCTACGAATTCCGGTACTAATAAACTGACCGTTATAATTGCAAAATGTTAGTCTTCTGGACCTTGTTACTTTGAAGAAGGCACCTAAGGGAAACGAAAATGAAAGACATCTCCTTTTTCTATTTTTAATATTTTGATCTTTTCCCTCCCTTGGTTTCCCCACATATTTTTTTATAAGGATCATTTTGTTTCAAAAGCGCAATGCTCCCAACGACATAACATCATAACGTATTTCTTCAACTAGGGCTGGCAATGGGCTGGGTCATCTCTAGACCCAGTCCCTAAAGGGCCAGCCCAAGCATCACCCATAGGCGTGGCAATAGACCTGGATCTAACTTGGGACCTGCCGGGTATTATCCGACACAGGGTATGATATGGGTCTAGCATTAAAACCCTATGGATCAGGTCCGGGTCCAGCTGGACCTGACCCATACCCGATCCGCACCCATAAACTGTTAGAGATAAAATACTTTACGTTAAGCCCTACCCATTTGGGTGAATTAAAGATCGTATGTAAGTAGAATTAGTAGTCATCTTTAACTATTAAACAACAAACTACATGGTTTGAAATCTAATAGCAGGTGATTGTAACTTTGTTGCCAATAATACGGGTATATGATGGTAATAAAAGGTACAAAAAAAAAAAAAAAAAAAAAAAAAAAAAAAACGACTCATAGTGAGGGTGACAATGGACCCGGGACTCGATGGGTACGGGTATGGGTCCAATTTTTGGACCCGGCAAGTCGGGTACAGATCAAGCTGAACCCGACCCATACCGGACTCGTTACCACCCTTAATCACCCATTTTGAAGAGGGCCTCGCCTAGTCTGGCCTAGTTAGTGCTTGGTAATGCGTAATAAACCCAACAAGTCCCCTAAATAAATTAAGAAAATACTCATATATTACAAAGAAGGTAAACGCGAGCCAATTTTTTTTTTTCTTTTTTCAAATTTGCCCATCAGTTCAAAGATAGCATCCTCACATTGAATTTAATTTTTTTTTTTGGTTATTTCTTTTGTAGGGAACTGCCCCGAGTTTTAGGGGCAGTGCCCAGGTGGTCCGAGTTTGGAATCCTCATAACGTTATGTTTTTTTTTTAAAAAATAGTGGTCCGAGGTTTGAATCTTTATACCGACCTTCTCATTTAGTTAAAAAAAACACCGCTATCCGAAAATTGGGACCTTGGAACGATCTTCGCATTTAGTTATGGAAAAAAACTGTGCTTTGAGAATTAAAATCTCGGACTGATTGTTATTACTTGAAAAGAAGTCGGTCCGAAAATTTGAACGTCTGACTGCTTTGTCATCACATTTAAACTGCACAACACTATTTTGTTTTGATTTTCTCTCTCACAACCCTATTTTGATACAATATTTTTTTTTCTCCACTACTTTCACGCCCTAAAACGAAACTGAAATCAGGCAAAACGTTATCAAATACAAAGTCAAGTTGTGCTTTCCTCCACCAGAAGAATTTAAATAAAGAAATGAGTTGTATCCCAGTTCAGCCAAAGCTTATTCCTCTCCACCTAATTGCATACAAAATCCAGTCGGAGCCATTTATGATAATCTCAGTGAACTTTAATGATATCCGAGATGTCATTATTGGATTCTCGGACCGCTTTAAGTTAATTTGCGAACTTGGTGTCGGTCTGAGAATGCTATCTTCGAATCGACTTGAACACGAACTCCGTTTAATCCAGGCGGCGGTTTGAGGTTATCATCCTTGGACCGGTATTTTTCTTTAAAAAACATAATGGTCAGAGGATTCCAACCTCGGATTGCCTAGGGCACCGCCCCTAAAACTTGGGGCACTGCCTTACTAAATAAAAAAAATTAAAATGCGGTCCGAGGATGGTATCCTCAGACCGAGGGATAATTTTTAAAAAATAAAACCGTCCATTGACCTACTTTTCTAGTAATTTTCGGCTAAAACCGGAGCATCCCGCATTTTTTACAAAGGTCTATACGTAATTTTCTCTAAACCCAATGAAAAGCAAAAACGAAAAATGAAGGGCAATAAAAGGCCAAGCGGTCTACTCCTATCTAGGACAAAGGTGGATCTGGCTTTGGCCCAACCTTCAGGTAGCCCGAGCCCTAATTTCCGGGAATCGGCATGCCAAGCTACAAGGGCCATTGCCAGCCTATTTTAAGTCCTATTAAGAAGGAACCATGTTATCAATCTTCAACTATGCCAGTAGGATATGGAAACTTGGTTTATTTTAAGTCCTATTACATCAATCTTCAACTATGCCAATAGGATGGAAACTTGGTTTATTTTAAATCCTGTTACTATCAATCTTCAACTAATGCCAGTAGGATGGAAACTTGGTTTGTTTTAAATCCTACTAATATCAATCTTCAACTATGCCAGTTGGATGAAAACTTGGTTTCAACTATATCAGTTGGATGAAAACTTGGTTTGATGGTGACAGCACTACAACTTTAGAATGGAGACGGCATACCAGAAGACGAGTAGTACTAAAGACTCATTCCAAAGTTGAAATCGTGGATACAAATTCTTATCAAACAGGCAATTTTCACCACCCACTAATGAAGTGGTTACACGTAACACGCCAATTGGTTCCATAGGGGTTATCAACAATCCAAAACAGATTAGTTACGTGTTTCATTTTATTATTGATAAAGAAACACACTAGTTACGTTTACATATGAAATGAATATGGCTTTGTAATTGACGATCTGATTTATGACAAGTAATTAGGATTAGACATTTATTGACTTTTATGTCAACATCATCTTTGAGAATCTTACCAACCACTGAATTCTCAAAATCAGACTCATATTTCTTCTTTTCAAGGACTTTGAGGGTGTGAAATCATTTAATACAGATGGAAAAAAACAAAACTTACCAAGAAATAAAGGAAAAGAAAGCAGGAATATTCAAGTGATCTGTGCAATTACAGAAAAATATGTATTTTACATTTGCTCTATTATTTACTTGAGGATTCAAGTGATCCTAGCAAATGTTTATCCAATTCAAAGAATTGGAAAAAAAAATATAATGGGGGAAGGTGCCCCATAAAACCTAATGGAATGCTCACAGGCAATGTGAGTATCAAAGAACTAGAAGTTGAGTAGTTAAGAAAGGCTGAAAATAAAAAGGTGGGTTGGTCAGGAGGTGGCCTTGAGGAGAGGAGAATGAGGAGATGAGAGAGGATGGAAGTCAAGCATGTGCTTCCCTTGGTCCTTCATCTCCTCCATGGTCCGAGAAGCAGAGAGAACCAGGCCTATTTCGGGTCGGCGTCGCCTTGGGGCCATTGTTGGCAGGAAACTTTTAATCCGATGAAGGGCGGTAGCCATTGTCGCCTCATCCATGTTAGCGAAGCAGACTCGGAACCACCCGGGCTCTGTACAGTGAAAGGAGGATCCTGGGGACACATTGAGCCTGACCTCATGGACAATGCGCCTCCATATGCGCAGCTCCTCCTCCACAGTGGCCTCTTGGAGCAGTGGCCTCAGGTTCATCCAGCAAAAGAGCCCACCGCCTCCCTTAAGGCAGTGGATCCCCACTCTCTCCAGACCTTTAGTCAACGTAGTGAACCGTGCCTTTAGCCGTGCTCGGCTCTCTTCGAGGAACTTAGCCACAAAGACCTTATCAGCAAGGAGGCATGCAAGGAGGTGCTGAGTCTGAGTGGATACGAGCCCGAAGCTCGACATCCTTCGCCCGCTCTTCACCACAATGTCATTGTAGGAGTAAATGATCCCAACCCTGAAGCCAGGAAGGCCGAGGTCCTTGGAGAGGCTGTAAACGATGTGGACGAGGGTTTGGTCGAACCGGCCAGGGTACTTCTGCAGGATCTCTGCTACACTGATGAAGCGCTTGTCACTGAAGAAGACGGTGGCGGAGTAGATCTCATCACAAACTAGGTGCACCTGCTTTTGGGTTGAGAATTCTAGGAGCTCAATGAGGGTGGCCTCGTCTAGAACAGTGCCGAGTGGGTTCGAGGGACTGGCTACTAAGACTCCCTTAACCTTGATGTTCCTCTCTTGGGCTCCATTATAAGCAGCTTCAAGGTCCCCGATAGAGAGGCGGAAGTCGTTGGAGTACTTGCAGTGCACAGGTATCAGTTCCACCCCAGTGCGCCACTTAACATCGCGGTCGAACCTGATACAAAAGCAAAACTTTGAGCATTTAGCATGAACACGAATCACTGAAACTTGCAGTGTTCAAGAAGCTTAGATATGTGTTAATCTCAGAGTACAGATGGAGGAGGCTACTGTTGAGAGTTTATTTACCCACCCTGGATAGTAAGGAGTAGGCAGGAGGAAGGCTTCACCGGGGTCGGCCAAGCAGAAGGCGATCAGTTCATTAGCACCAGTGGCTCCTCCGCTCATCACGATGCGATTGGGGTCGAACTTGGCTCGCCCCCCTCTTATTTGCTCCATGAACTCCGCCACCGCCTGCATTAACCATACAACTTAGAATCCCATTCCACATCTTTCTATTCTTTCCCCAGCATTTTATTTATGTTGTTTCTGATGAATTACAGGGATCATGAACTCTTCATCACCTTTGTGAAAGATGGCAATCCGTGGTAATCTTGGTAGAGAGCGATCTCTTTGAAGTTGGACAGCCCTTGAGAAGTGCATATTGATGCTTGAGGGTTCCTCCTCATCCAATCCTCTATCAAATCAAAGCATAGCTGAAGAAAAGCATTCAGCAGTGTCAATATATATATTAACAATGACATTAATAGTGTAAATATAAAAAACATCTAGCTACAAAGAAAACTGCAGTGCGCTAGTGCGGTAAAGAAAGCTATGTGCACTAGCATTTAGTAGGCTTTTGAGCCATCTACGACAAGCAAGAGCATTAGTACAACAGCTTTTGCGCTAACCATGCTTGTTAGCTTTTGAGCCAACGAAGACAAGCAAGAAAACAGGTGCATGTTAGCACAACGGCTTTTGCACTTGTTATTGCTTCTACTTTCGAGCTGTAGTTTGTTCGGCTCACTAACTGTGAAGAAAACTACGTGCGTGTCAGTGCATGTAGGCATTCACGCTAGCAATTGCTTCTTGCTTTCGAACCAGCGAAGAAAAGTAAGAAGACAGATGCGCTAACACGCAACATCTTTCATGCCAACCATTACTTGTTGGCTTTCGAGCCTACGCTTGCTAGGCTCTAATTGAGCAAAGTGATTTATTGGATTCTAGCTTTGGATATAGAGAGGCAATCGAGCTAGACAGGTTTTCGAAGCCTCAAGTACTAATTCTATTTTATAAACATATTTTTCCATATGCTAACCCAAATTTTTTGTCGGCAAAAAATAGTTACCTGATTTTCTGCTAAGCCCATTTGGATGACACCGTGAGGTTTGTTGATGGGATGGTAAGGATTATCATCATACGCCTTCCAACCATCGAAATAAGGAGAGTTCTCACCATGGGCATCATTCGTTGCCACATTTGAAAGCAAATGGGGATTACACATGTTCATCATTCTCTGTTATTATGAATCGAATCTTGATATGTAGTACTGCTAATGATCAAAATTATCAACCGTTAGCCCACTAATGATCAAAATTATCAACAGCTAGCCCACGCAAAAAAAACCTAAGCTGGATTCAAATTGATAGATAGCGTTAATTGAAAGCCACCTTCGTTTTGTATGGAATCGAGGCATGAATGGAATTATATTTATAGGGGGCGCGGGAAATAAATGAGTAAGACCGTTTACCACCATGTTTTTGAATTTTGAATTCTAAGCATCCGTTCATCTCTCAATTGCGCATCCCGACGGCTCTTCATGATCCATTTCTCTTTGAATGTTAAATTCTCTCTCTCCTCGCTTTATTGAATGTTAAACGCCTTTCTTTCTGTCTCTGAACCTTAAATTTCTGTCCTTTTTATTGGATGTAAACTCCTCTCTCTCTACACCTTTTTATCTATATCTTGGGGCCCTTTCTCTCTCTAGGTGTTGAGGTGGCGATTATACAGGGAAGTTTCGAAGTGGGGGACATTTACCGGCTGGTCCAACGGTTTGAACGATGTTTTTATCGTGGGCGTTGGCGCTGACGACTGGGCACAAAAAGTCAGTCGTAGTTGTAGTTCTAGAGAGAGAGAGAGAGAGAGGCGTGCCAGCTATACTCAACTTTTGCTCGAGTCGTGTTTTAGAGAGAGAGTATTGCATTGTGCGACAGGTATAGAGAGAGAGAGAGTCAAAGCATTACTCTTTCCTAGTTGGGTAAAGCACCTGCCCCAGGCCTTAAGCCATCGCAGTCGCTTGGTCAATAGGGTATGTGCATGGTTGGATTATGGTATTTGGTAAGTGCAGTCGCTTGGTCAATAGGGTATGTGCATGGTTGGATTATAGTATTTGGTAAGTGCTTGGTAAAAACATAGACTCCATTTTTTTCAGCAGTTTTTGCATGGTATTTGGTAAGTGCTTGGAAAAACATAGACTCCATTTTTTTCAGCAGTTTTTGCAAAGAGCTGAGCGCACAACGCACTACTCGCCTTTTTAAATCATTTTTTTTTTATGAAATGAAGAGTGGCCCACCATGTGTTCCCGATCCAAATGACCAGACAGTGCGAACCATATGTGTTTCCCCATGGAAAAAACAAGACAGTCCCAAGTGTACGTATTTCTGTACACAGATAGATTTTCAATGAAGAAAATGCATCGTGGGATTAGAATGTCGGGTTATTTCAGAAAAAGTGTCCATTAATTTTTGGGTATGGCTTTTATGAGGTTGCAACCGTAAACAATCCATTTAAGGTGCACCTCCAAATTTGATCATCATATATAAGGTGTAAATTTTTTTTAAGATTATCTTAAAATCCCTTTTCATATCTAATTATAAAATTTGAAACTTCAAAAATGGATAAAATCAAGTAGATCTATAAACATGTGAAAATCTTGAAAAATGAACGGTCTAGATAATGTGTTGCAAGATGCATTATTTCTGGGACTCAAAATCTATTTTTTTTTTTTCATATTTCTACATCTCGATGTCGAGATGATCAATTTGAAGGTTTTTCAACATTAAAACAACCTTTTCCAATGGATTTTTTAGGTGCAATTGTAATTCTACATTTTAAGGTTGCAACCTTATATAAACTTTTTCCTTAATTTTTTTTTGTTCCAAAAGAGACAAAAGATTTCGAATGGCAAAATCTTGAGTGGGTCACCTCTGTTCCCGAATGCAAATAACCAGAAAGTGCAGAGTGTATGTGAAAGATTGATTTTCAATAAAGAAAATGCAATGAAGAACTAGATGGTGGCGTTATATGAGAAAAAGAGTCCATGAATTTGTTCTTGTCAAAAAAAAAAAAAAAGAAGAAGTCTGGAATGGCAAAATCTTGGAACTTTGGCCAAAAGAGAAATTATGGACGTGTTCCCATTCTTATACAGGAAAGGTCATGGCAAACACGACTTTTAACTCAAATAGGGCGACAAAGATTAGGGCTTCCTGTTTTTTTTTTCATGGTTATGGGTGTGATCCCATGATTTTGACCTCGGCTATGGATTGGCCCAGTTACAGGTGTGTTTCTCTCATGTCTGTGAGTGTTACATGCGATTTTTGGTCGGTGCCCTCATGGCTTTTCATATTTTTAGCCCGGCAAATCGACAGCCACCAAAATTTCTCTGTGGGACAACCCAAGTTCATGAAATGACACTTAATAAAAATGTGTTGCTGGATTTGGAGATGGGTAAAATATGTTGAATAACCAGTATAGTAAGAGGATGAATGATATTCTGCAAGCTTAAATTAAGCTATTTCAAGAAGATTTTGGGTGAACTAAAGGCATTTTGTCATTTTTTCATAAAATAAAATCAAGTATCAAAACTTTCATGAAACTCTTCTGGATAGACTTTATGTTTCACATAATCGACTTGGTTCGATGACATCAATTTTTAAAGGACTAGATGTTGCAGAGATACAATAAACAGCATCACAAGCAAGGCTAAAGGAGAATCTATCTAATAAATATTTTAGTTCTTCTATGGAACTATTTCATGTTAGGTGTATCATTCCTTGTTTGGGTGGTTTTGGAAACACCATTAAGGTCAAATGACCTAAAACAGATCTGAAAGATCTGATTGCATTTAACATACAAAATGCCATTGAACCACTCCAAATTAAAATTTGTCAAATTGATCATGTATGGTTCAAATAAGTGAACTTTTTTTTATAAGATTTGGAGCTTATCCCCTTGCCACATATGATAGGTTTTGCATCCACAATATCTCTTTGCCGATATCAACAATTAAGCCTTCATTCTCCATTCTTTCTCTCTCTCTTTTACTTGAAAGAAAATATTTTGATTCAACATAATCGTCAGAGCATTATTGATGAGTGGCTTAAAAAAGGAAATTTCCCTTTTAGCAAAATTGCAGTTGGTTATCACAAAATATCGGAAGTAGCTTGTCTATTATTTCAAGCTTTAAATCCCTAATGAAGCAGCTTGTCCAGATGACAAAAGTAGAAGTTATATTATAAGTGATGTATTCTGCTTCCATTTTGCAATGAGTGACACATTCTTGTATCTTACTAAATCAAGAATTATAACCTCCTCCAAAGAAGAAAATATTTCCATAAGTAGATTTTCTATCATCAGGATCTTTTGCGAAATTTGCATAAGAGAATTCTTGAATTTTCAAGCTATGAGCCTGATAGTATAGTTTATAATGTTTGGTTCCTTGGATATATCTGAGCATCATTTTAATTGCTTACCGATGAGTTATACCGGGGTTACTTTGGAATCTACTGATATATCCTATTGTAAAACTAAGGTTCGGTCTTGTACAAAGCATATCATGCATAATAGATTAAGTGACTTGTTTATATGATATAGGTTCCATTTTAGCCTTATCTGTATCATTAATTCGACATTTTTTCTTTGATAACTTCATGCCCTTATGTTGGGTGTGTTTTTAGTCACATATGAGGCTAAGTGTGCTCTAACAAACGCCTGATAGATTGAAGATGCCAATATAAAGAAGAGTTTCTAACACACATTTGATAACTGTCTTAACAGACGATCGATAAGATACAAGTACGGTTCTTGATAACGCTTGCTCAGATATGCCCCATGATATGAAAGATATGATATCTCACGATTCGTGATATGATGGCCCCAATATTCCTTCAGAACCCTGACTCGTCAGTCAGCCCCTATATGTTCTGACTTACGATCAATGAAAGATGTGATACCAATAGCTCGTCAATTAAGCCTGTTCAAGTTTAACTTACGATTGATGATAGAAGATATGAAAGCCATCTCATTGTGAGACAAGTTCTAGGGTACATATACTCCTAAGGCTCGATATGCCTATCCATGTGATATATGGAGGAACATGATGCAGTTTGATACACATATTTTCTTAAATCCATCGTTAGTTATGCATGTACAACGTAATTTACGGTCTATGATAAAAGATCATGAAGACGTTTCTATTTGATAAAGAACTCTAGAATGCATATGTTCCATGGCACATAAATGCCTCTTCACTAGATATTGGAGGAGTTTTGGGTGAGATGTGATATGACTCTTTTAACCCGTCAGTTAAGAATATGGGGTTTTAATAGACGGAGTATAGGGAAACCTCGTCATATGTTGATATAATGAGGTAAATACATAAATATATACATGTTAATGCTTCATATGCTTTAAGTCCAGGAGTGATATAACTTGGACAATATTTGGACTTGGCTTAACCGATGTCCATATTCACCGTTAGTTAAGATATGCCTTGACTGATACCCCTAGAACTTCCTATTTTGGAATTAAGCTGAGACTCTCAGGGACCTATTTTTGAGGCATTATAACCCTCTCCCTGAAGTTTCAAATCATTTGGAGGTGGCTTAACTCAGCATCCACATCATTCGACAGTTGGAGCCTTAAAAGCTCTATCCCCTGTACGTTACAGCTAAGATGACACCTAGTCACCAAAATTGGGATTTCTCCCTCGATATGAGAAATTTTCTCATGGGACTAGGACTGTTGGATTCATGATTCGATGCTTTATCATCCTTAATACTTCAAATATATTGTCTTGTATATTTGAAGTGGTTGCATTCGCAATCCACTAGTTATATTGAAGCAATTTCTAGTAGAAACACAGTAACTTGGACATGCCATATCTCTATCATCTGAGATCTATTTGAGGTGAGACTTGGACCATTGTGTTCGTGTCTAAGTACTCTATCACCTCTAAAAATTTTATATTAAAATGATTTTTCATTTGAAAGCGCTTGCACACGTAATCCATTCGTCTTGCTGACATAATTTCCAACATAAATATATTAATTTGAAAGGACAAGATCTCTCTTATCTGTGATCCATTTGAAACTCACCAAATTTCAAATTCAAAGGATTTGTAATTAAGAATCGGTTTCACTCACAATCGACTGGTATCATATTGGTTATGCTGAAGCAATTTCCATCAGAAATAGGGTAACTTCGACGATTGAGAGCTCTCACATCCATGATCCATTTAAAGTGAACTTAGACTATTATGTTCATATTTGAATCTTCTTTCATCCCTACAAATTTCATGATCAATGGATCTACCATATGAAAGAAATTGAAGAAATACAAAGATATGTCGGAACTGTGGTGCAAAAGCTTAACTTACTAGGATAATGGAGTCCTTGAGTTTTCTCAAG